TTAGGAGAGGACACTTTAAAGTGATCACTTTTTCTTGACGTTGTGAAACCTTAGGAGGACGGGGTGCTGAGGGCTGCTCTCCCTGCCACGCACTAGCAGCTCATCCTGCCTTCAAATCCTTCCGTTGTCTATCAAAATCAATTTTATTTACCTGTTCCCTCAGGTGTCGTCACCAGGATTCAAGCAGGTAGCAAGGAGTGAGGACTGTCTTGGAAGACTTATTCTAACAAGATTTTTCTGTGTACGAGGAAAGAAAAAATATAGCGATCTGAAAGTCGATTTTACTGATTATATTCGCTATTATCTAACTGCTGCTATCACATCTCATCTCGACACGTAAAGGTGTGAATTCACACTTCATAGAGAAAGATGAGGGTCGGAACATGTGTTTCATACGAAACTGGACATGCAATTATCTTAATTGAACCACTGTGAAACCTGCTATTAGTTAGTGGGATTATCTTCAAGCGACGAACAGGCACACACGCAGTAAAAAACGTCGTACTTACTCCAAGTTGCATTTGGAAAAGTACATGTGACCAAAACAATGACTTATATATATATATATATATATATATATATATATATATATATATATATATATATATATATATATATATATATATATATGTAGAAAGTATGCTCTTATGTTGACCTTAATACACCTGCCTATCAAAACCCCCCTAAAATATATATGTGTAAAAAAAGACAGGGATATACACAGAGACGTACCCCCCGTTCTCGGTGTATACATATTTTAAGGTATACAGAGCTTCTAGGTGTATATATACATTGAGAGTTTACATTAGTGCTGATAATGTCTATAATCAAGCTTAGTTAACACTTTTTTTTATATTTAGACTTTGTTCAAGATTAATGTTTACTTACTGGTTGATCAGTAAGCTTTTGAAGCAGCCTTGTTAGCCCTCGTGAAGAAGGGGGAGGGGATCTCCTTAGCCTCAACGCTTAAACAATCTGTAAACTACTGCAAACACCTTGAGAAGCTTCAAGACCCCCAACAATACACTCGGTCACGAACTACACAATTAACTCCACCACTAAGACTGTGTGGTTGGGATCGTTCGCAGCAATTATACCCAGTGACCGCACAGTATGTCTTATGCATCACCGTCGGATAATTCACAGTTACCTGTTTCTGCTACTTTCTGAATTTAATGAGGCGAAGTGAATGCCGTTCTCCTTCACTGCTGCTCCTCGTTTAGCAGTCCCTGGGATATGAGACAGTGTCATATCACATCGACTATCGGGAATCAAACGCGGTCCTTGCAAGAAGCGAATCCTTCGTTCTACTTGATCAGTCATATGTAAATGAGTTTTACTAAATACAATTTGCTAAAACAATATTATTAAATAAATCCAGTAAAGAATCCAGTAGGATCTCCTGGCACATCAGTGTTCAGGTGATGGAAGACAGCATCCCTATTAAGCCGTAGTGTAGCTCGTAGCGCTCTTGGTGGCAGGTCCTGAGGCCAGATAAGTATATAATAGCAGGGTTGAGAGGAGGGTCAGAGCCATCATTATTACAGACGGGGGAGAAGGGTACTCTTTGTGGCCAGGAGGACTCGGAGGGTTACTGATACTTGCAGAGTATCTATCCATAAACTGCAAAGGGGCGTGGGGGAGTGGTTCTCCACATCCAGAGAAGCGTGGAACCAGAAGAAGGCGTTTGGTTCTACTTCTTATTGATAGTAATGAATGTAGTTATCTTGTGAGAGATGCCCACAAATGCCTGTGGGCGGTTATCCTTACCAGGCTCGCTGGGAGGATTCGTCTCGTTGAGAATGGATTGTCTGGTTATGTGGGTTGGTCTCTTCGTGTAATGAGGAATGCCCGTGCTGCTGTGAAGAGCTGTCATGGTCATAGATGAATCGGTCACTGAAATAGGTCTCCTGTTTCTTTCTGGATTTGACCAATAGTCCCACACACACTGCTGGAACCATGGCAGGTATGTGAGTCCATCACTGACTGATCTATGGGGCTTTAATTTGCTTCCAGGTGATGATTCAGCTGTCGAAGTTCTGGGTTACCCCAACATGGTGACCCCAACACTGGATAACCCCCAATATAGTCTACATTCAGACCACAAAAGCACCAATTGTCTGACGATGGGTTGGGCAATCCATACTTTATGAATTCATTTCGGCTTAAATGCCGAATTATCAAACGAAGGCTGTGGGGTCAGGGACCGGGTCTATTCTCTTGCCAAAAAGGAGTACGACGCTAATAAAAATCCTTCTTTCGGACCGACATGGAGGGGGAATGATGGGGTCTCGTTGGTCGAAGACTCCAACTGGGTTTAGATTCAGAAAAAAAGCAGCTTCTCGTTTAGGCAATAAGTGATGACTGGTAAAATAATCTCAGGAATCTCTGTGGATCGTGACATCTCAGGTCACTTGCTATTGATCATTCTAGGTCACGTTACTTGCAAAGCGTCATCGTAGCTCGTTACGTCAGATCAGTGTCATGTGCCATTTTAATTTACGAAAATGATATATAAAATCATTAAAAATAACCTGATACCAAGTATATTACGTAAATTATCACATCACAGTTTGAACGTGATATACCAAAAGATGTTCGGTATTCAGATATTTTCTAGTTATGAATGAAAACGATTATAAAACAAGGTATATCTACGTTAACGTGGATTTCTGCTTCAAAACACTTGTCTAAACTCCTCTTACCACTTTGTTAACTTGTCTAAGCCCATCAAACACCTTGTCTAAGCATTCTACCTTCGTTAAGTTCCTCTGACCACTTAGCTAACTTGTTTAAGCCCATCAAACGTCTGTCCTAGCTTCCCTAAGTTCTAAGTTCACTGCACTAGCTTGTCCCAGTCCCTTTAAACATTAACACATTCGATATATATATATATATATATATATATATATATATATATATATATATATATATATATATATATATATATATATATATATATATATTGAGCACGTCTCGTGGCCTCGTCCACTGCTGACAATGCCCCCAGATTAACCTCTCTGATATAGATCCTCATTGTGTGTACAAGGGCACCCACTGCCTTTTATCGTCAGCTGATATTTCCTGTGAAGGTAGACTCTCAAGTTATCTTACGAACGTTAAACATTTCATATCAATTGATGAACAATGTCAACGCTAATCAAATTAATTGATATGAAATTAACGTAGCTGGTGTTATTTGTGTAATATAAACATGGATGTATTTTTTTTAAAAGATGAATTATATTTTGTGTAATACGAAACAGCGGGAATGAATTATTATGAATTATTATTATTATTAATACTTATAAATTAGCATTTTATTTATAATTTTCTGGACCAGGTTGTGCTCAGGTCTCTCTCCCTCTTTCTCTTTTCATCTTCCCATCTCCCCCTCTCTCATTTATCTTCCCTTATCTCCGATTATCCCTTTCTCAATCTCTAACCCCTCTGTTCCCCACAACCTCATGCCCTCTTCTTCCCTCCTCACCTTCTCAATCTCTAACCTCAATCTTCCCTCTCTCTCACCTCTCTGCGATCTTCTACTACCTTTCTCCATCATCTCATCTCTCTCCCTCTCTTCCCCTCCCACCTACCTCTCTCCCTCTCTCTCTCTCTCTCTCTCTCTCTCTCTCTCTCTCTCTTTCTCTCAGAAATCTTAATAATATGAAGCACTGTATAAACTGCTAAAGCTCACGGGAAACGCAAAACCGATTTTACACCACGAAACTCGTAAGGGATCGCTGTAGATATCGACATTTCTTAAAATGTGGCACTGTGGCCGTTTCTGCTAGCTCAGCGTTTCTGTCCAGCCCGTGGATTGAACCCGAGGCCCACGATTGTGATCCAAGGACGTAGAGCAACATGCAACAGAATACATTGCAATGTTGACCAGACCACACACTAGAAATATTGCAATGTAGAAACTACATTGCAATATTCCCAAGTAGAGACTTCCTAGTGTCTCCTGCAGAGAGAGAATTACAGTACTGTCTCACCATCCTGAGTACGGAGGCGTGTTTGTTTAAGCAGCATACATTTAATCACACAAGTTAATCGTTCCCCAGAACACTTAATGGTGAGATCACCTCGCAAGTCTATAATGTAACGCTCACAACTTGTCCTTGTTGGTTTATTAAGAGCAAAAGGTTTATTTTCCGAACGTAAACCAGTAGTGCTGCCGTCTCTCTCTCGTGGAACTCCGCCACCACCACCAACGCCGCAACCGCTCTGGCAATAACGAATGCCGCCGCTACATCCCCACGATAACGAATAGCGCCGCTACCCCCACAACGAACAACAACACAAGCGCCGACGCATCTACACTACCAAAATGCCACCGACCTGAAAAAAGGCGCCAGGAAGCTGCTATCGCAAAACTGTTTGGCAGTGATATCAAAAAAGACCTGGTTGGCAGTCTGAGCTTAACACTGCTGGTAATTGGCCATCAGTTCTACTATCCTCCCCCCTCCCTCATACCCTCCCAACCACCCTAGCCAATTCCATTTCCCATTCTACCCCCCCCCCCCACAACCAGCTGAAGTACTAATTGTTTATATCAGTATTCCAAGAGAGCCTTGGGAGGGGGGACTTTAACAACTCATCCGGTGATTTTTGATGCAGACACTCTTGGATTGTTTCAGTCGTCTGGAGTGTGTGTGATTTAGTATATGCATTAGTTTCCTAAGTAAGGATTTGTCAAGCATTCATGAAACCAATTAAGAAAACTGTATATCTGTCTGTAATCATGGCGGCTTTTTTTTCAATAAATAAATATTTTACGAGCTTCGAACTTGACAATCTAAGGTTATTATTGTTATAAATAGCTTCGTAATGCTTCAGTGCTCATATACTTTTATGTAAATGTAAACAAAGCCGCCATGATTGAGGAGAGATGCACAGGTTTCGTGGGTGGCTGCGTAAATGCTTCACGAATCCTGGTTACTGTTTACTGAAGCTTTAACTGCAACATAATTTTATAAGAAGCATAATGGATTAGATTATAATATTTTTATGGAGAAATTTTGCGTTGTATTCTGATGTATTTTAGAAAGTGGTGTTGTATTTTGCTGTATTTTAGGAAGTGGTGTTGTATTTTGCTGTATTTTAGGAAATGGCGTTGTATTTTGCTGCATTTTAGGAAGTGGCGTTGTATTTTGCTGTATTTTAGGAAGTGGTGTTGTATTTTGCTGTATTTTAGGAAGTGGTGTTGTATTTTGCTGTATTTTAGGAAGTGGTGTTGTATTTTGCTGTATTTTAGGAAGTGGTGTTGTATTTTGCTGTATTTTAGGAAGTGGTGTTGTATTTTGCTGTATTTTAGGAAGTGGTGTTGTATTTTGCTGTATTTTAGGAAGTGGCGTTGTATTTTGCTGTATTTTAGAAAGTGGTGATGTATTTTGCTGTATTTTAGGAAGTGGTGTTGCATCCTGCCTCATTTTGGGTTGTATTGTTGCATCTTATCGTATATTTTACATATTGTTCTTATATCCCTGAAACGAAATTTTATGTAAATCCATGTTTTTTGTCGTTAAAACATAAATTAAGATTTGCATACTGAAGAAGCACTTTGACGAAAAGATTTAATTATTATATTTTACTAGAAATACATCTCTCGAACAATTTAATTTTAAGCTCTATAGCATTTTAACATATGTCTCATGATATATATTTTATGCTTAAACGTTTGCCTATGTCAGGGGCAGCAAGCCTTACACCACCGTTGACAATTGACTAACTCCCAGATACCTATTTACTGCTAGGTGAACAAAAACATCAGGTGAAAGGAAACGTACCCAAACGTCTCCGTTCTGACGTGGGGAAAAAAACCTGGGACCATTCAATTGTGAATCGACGATACTCACCTTAAAAACAGATATAAATTTGAAGACCAGTATGTATATCTGTGAAGATATCTATCTACCCATCTATCTATATACATATATATCTATCTTTAGTGATATACACATATCACTAATGCGTCTGAACTACTTTATCGATTTTAAGAAAGGTAAACCATTCTTTTATAATATTTGTAGGTGGTAAACTATATTATGAAACACGTCATTTAGTGAAGAGAGGAAGACGTTGGAACAGAGAACAGAAGACAGAGGAAGACGTTGAAGCACAGAACAAAAGACAGAAGAACACGTTGAAGCACAGAACAAAAGACAGAGGAACACGTTGAAGCACAAAAGACAGAGGAACACGTTGAAGCACAGAACAAAAGACAGAAAAAGACGTTGAAGCAAAGAACAGAAGACAGAGGAACACGTTGAACCAGAGAACAGAAGACAGAGAAAGACGTTGAAGCAGAGAACAATAGACAGAGAAAGACGTTGAAGCACAGAACAGAAGACAGAGAAAGACGTTGAAGCACAGAACAGAAGACAGAGAAGGACGTTGAAGCACAGAACAAAAGACAGAGAAAGACGTTGAAGCACAGAACTGAAGACAGAGGAGGACAATGCGATAGTTTTAAAGCTTCCTCATATGTTGTTTGTCGGAAGCGTCATAGAACACAGTGTTTGTCACCTGAGAATTGCCAAGTAATTATCACCGGGGTTTTCCCCTTCCTTTGTGGCTCGCCTAACGAGCTCTGACAAGGAGACAGCTTCAAGGATTGTGCCAGTAAGCCTCCGACAATCAGTCATGGACGTTAACCTCTCAAGTATTCAGATTATAAATTGTTTTTAATTTTGCACCAAATAATTATGAGGTTATTCTATTAAGTGCATTATTCATCTTGATATGAAGGAAAACTATTTTCTTAATTTTTTTTTGCTTTATTCAGAGGTACTGTGCTACATATATCACTGCCAGAAGATAATAATGATTTTAAAAAAATGTTTCTACTCACTGAATGGAACTGTGTAAATAATATTGCAAATGACAGTGAAATTTTTTCTTCCCGATACCAAACACTTTGAAATAATGTTGTATCAAATGACCAATCTTGCACTTTTAGCTCCCATCACCTCCTAGTTTCATACACAAGTTACAGCCCCGTTCCTGTGCCAGGTAAGTCCACTACGGGCTCACCATAGCCCGTGCTACTTGCAACTTTTTGTTCCCAGTAGCTGAATCTTAAACAGCAACAACTCCTATAGTCTGTTACCGAACAATTAACTAGAAAATTAGAAAGTGAAATGTTAGATAATTTTTTAAGCAAAAGAGAACAGACACCAACTGCATGTTTGACAGTACCATTATACAGCTTGCAACTGATATCAATCAACTGAATTACGTGATTTGTTTAATTTGCTCGAATTCGATAATACCAGATTGCATAATGAAAACTGTTGTATATGTATCCGGGAGACAGCAAAGATAATCCAGATTGGGCAGGCTCAGCCTGCCTAGGCCTGGTGGAGGATAGCCCAACCGTAGCCGAGGTAGCCTTTTGGATTGGTCACTCTTAGAGTTACCATCGCTGTGGTATGTGAACCCAAAAATACAGGACAAACCTGCTTGATCCTCGCGGTCAGCCCACTCTCTCTCTCTCTCTCTCTCTCTCTCTCTCTCTCTCTCTCTCTCTCTCTCTCTCTCTCTCTCTCTCTCTCTCTCTCTCTCTCTCTCTCTCTCTCTCTCTCTCTCTCTCTCTCCCCCTCTCTCTGAGATGGGACTGTAGAGCAGAGGTCTAGGTGAGTACATGCAGGAGAGAACACCACACTAATAAATATACCTGATATACGTCTTCACATGTTCGCTACATGACAATTCACACAGAACCCACATCAGATACCAGCGAAACCAACCACCCAACAGGTCACCTGCTCCATTCACACATATTCTTCATACACCCCTAGTCATCTGTTCCGTGTACACAGACTTATGCACAACATCCCATCTTTGGTTTGTGTGTACACATTAAGCAGTCACTCTCCCGCAGTGCGGACACACACACACACACACACCCACACACACACACACGTCCAATCAACCACTGTGCATTTGTATTTACTTTCCCTACACGCGACGGCTCGTGTTTCTTCGCTCTGCTCCCAGCCAGATGGACAAACTACATCACATTAGTCAATTATCCACTTAACCTAAACCATGGGTCAGTGGCGAGACTAACTGATGAACTACTTGTTGGAGTGAAGGCTCATATATCCCCCTTTTTCTACGTCTGTCATATGAACATTAAAACCATTGCATAACAGACGAAGGCCGCGGAAAACTGGACTTTGTTTTTTGACATGCTCCTGAAAATTTCACTTTAGTCTGTTCCTGAGGTTGCGACTGTCTTGCCCCCCGAGCCTGACCTTTGAGCAATATGGATTCACCACCCGCTGTTTAGCTGAAGACGTTTCGAGAATAGGAATTTAGCTGTTATTGCTACGACCATTGGGTGATGCAAATGTTTCTATAGCGTCTAGCTTTATTACTGGTGTTGTCCTAGAGAGAGAGAGAGAGAGAGAGAGAGAGAGAGAGAGAGAGAGAGAGAGAGAGAGAGAGAGAGAGAGAGAGAGGGAGAGGGAGAGGGAGAGAGAGAGAGAGAGAGAGAGAGAGAGAGACAGAGAGATAGAGAGACAGACAGAGAGATAGAGAGACTCAGTGTTTTATCTGTAAGAATTTTTATATATTTTGTGTGTGTCAGAGAGATCAAATCTTAGGAGCATCCTGGGATGAGATCCTCATCGAGCTCAGCTGACTTTGATGAGCCTTAAATTGTCGCAGCATCCAATCTTGCTCAGGTAGGGAAGGATGCTGTCGTGGCCCTCATGCTGATATATGGTTCTGATATACTCACTCGTGGTCATAAGACTTCCCATAATACTCACCGGTCTGACAACTTTAGTAAGATGAGTGTCGAGTTATCGCTTCAATATTCAATCTGGATTTTTATTCTTGACTGTAGTGGCCAACTTTATAGCTTGGATTAAGATAATTTTCAGGACAATCTAGTTAAATGAAAGAGAGATTGACTACAGTCCTATGTTCATCGGTCTATGTTAGTGGTTCATGATCTAATTAAAAATTAATTCGTAATGCTTAAATGGATTCTTTAAGAGAAATATGCATATCAGCTGTTGCTAGAGATTAGTCAGTAAACTGGATGTTAATCATGGATTTATATTTTAATTTCGTCTGCATACAAAAAGCTATTCTAAATAAAAATGCTATATATAATCTTACACATGAGTTTATACAACATGTTAAGTACTGTTTAACAAGAAAAATACAGGTGTCTTTGACCCTAACAGGTTTCAAAAATCCTTTGACACCTGTTGTCAAAACAACTGAATATCCGCCAGAAATGTTTGTACGTATCGCTGGCTTTCAAAGTAATAAATCTAATTGGACTGGTCGGTACAGTGATGACCTCCCTTCCTACAGGTCGGAGTTCGATTCCCGATAGTCCTCGTAGTTAGGCACCATCCCTTCATTCCCTTCATTCTATCCCACCACCTATCCTCTCCTTGTATCCCTTTCCATGTGTTATAAAAGTCACACAAACATACCCTTTTCTTCTGATATTTTCCTTCCAGAGATTAAGAGGGTTCGGGTGAGGGCTGTAGGAACTCCACTGGTCTCGGTCCAGGGAGGCTGGTGCGGAGCCTCAGGCACTGCACAGGATCATTTTACCATGATTTATATAATTATATCCAATCCCCTCAGCAATGTCATTATTTTCGTGTGTACTCACCTAATTCTCTTCAGTGAATTGCGCTTGGGAGAGAGAGATAGAGAGAGAGAGAGAGAGAGAGAGAGAGAGAGAGAGAGAGAGAGAGAGAGAGAGAGAGAGAGAGAGAGAGAGAGAGAGAGAGAGAGAGAAAGAGAGAGAGAAAAGAGAGAGAGTACTCACTCTCTTGGTAGTGTGCTCACCAAAAAAAACTTATATGAAAGTTCCCTATATAATAGTTTCAAGGTACATTCTCATGAAATAAATGAGTTTCTAAGAGCAGGGTTCAGATGAGCTGAGATAGGATAACAGCTCTTGCTTGTAGTTTCACTAGATACGTCATTTGACAGTCCTTATGAACCTTATGAACGTATTATAGTCCTAGTTAAAAAAGAGAGAGAAAAAAGGAAGACATGGAGAGACATAGAAGAAGGATATCAAACATGATGGAAAACAGAGAATAACTACTCTCCACCACCACAACTTTACTAATCATCACCAAAAGTCTCAAGTCTTCACTATCACACACATCTCTCACCACTACTTGCTAGTCCCCCCAACACCGTCAACGGATGTCAAAGATCGCGCAGAAAGCCTCATAGCACCCTCACCTTAATAAGGCTGCCGGCTAACCTCTTAGACTCCTACTCGTCTTGGGGTTATCTGAAGGTACCCGACCATGACTCGGAAGTATTGGTTATATATTCCACATGCATAGTATACCGCCTCTCTTGAAGTATAATGGTAATCTTATTGTAAAACGGCTGTGGATGAATGGATATGCATTCGCGTATATGTGGGTCATCGTTG